AGGCTTATAAACTTGAGGTAAAAGGATTAATAACTTTGGAAGAAGAGCACCCCAACATTAGTAGGGTGAGGAAATACAAATAAGGAAAAGAGGCTGAAACCCCTACTTGAATGTGCATTAGACACAGTCTTGTCAGCATAACACATTATAAAATAGTGTTCCAGCTATGTGCTTTGGGAGGGAGAGATTCCACACATTCCAGCCTATGTGCTTTGGGAAGGAGAGATGTATCCCTTTGGAGATGCCAGGATGGCAGCCATTGGTGAGGGGGAAGATGAGGAAGACTATAACTAACCCACTTGGGATTTTTACCCATGAAAGCTTATGCCCAAATAAATTTGTTAGCCTTTAAGGTGCCACCGGACTCCTTGTTGTTTTGTGGATACAGACTAACACGGTTACCCCTCTGATACTAGATGTAAGTGTTCTTCAAAACTCTGTCTGAGGTCCAACACACAGGTGCTGGCTTCTTCCTTGCCCCAGGGGTGCTCAACCCCAGCTCTGTCCCAGCCCCCCCTCCCTCCCCATTCTGCCCCAGGCCACACCTGACTCCACCCCTTCTCCCAACCCCCCACCTCCACTCTGCCCCACCCCGCCTATTTCATACCTCTTCCCACCCAGTTCCATTCCCTCCCCCGAGCGTGCCCCGTGCCCGCGTCTCCTCCCAGCACCTCCTGCATGCCACAGAACAGCAGATCTGTGGTGGGAAGGAGGCATGGGAGGAAGGCCGAGGGAGTTGATTGGGGGGGGCCGCAGGTGGGTGGGAGGTGCTGGGAGGGAGGGGAGCTTGGCTGCCAGTGGGTGTGACGCACCCCCTAATTTTTTTTCTGTGGGTCCTCCAGCTCTGGAGCACCCACAGAGTTGGCGCCTATGGTCCAACACATCAGAATCTTTAGTGTAGAAGTATAACATCATGGAAGAAAATAGCACACTTCAATATCTTAAATCTTCATGCGTGGAAGACCTTTTGGTCATGTCTACACTAAAGAGCGCAATTGTTTGTACTTCAAATAATGCAAAACAATTGACTGAAGTACAAACAATTGAAACTATCCACAGCTAGCTAACATCAGTCAGTGTAAGACCTGAACTTCAGTTAAGTTATACCTGCATATCTACGTCCATCAAGGGTGTGGGGAAAAAAAAAACAAAAACCCACACACACCCTTGACAGACACAGCTAAGTTGCTAAAACCCTGAGTGCATCTTTCAACGTAGCTAATGTTGTTCAGAGAAGTGGTGGTCCTCTGCCAGTAGAAAAACTCCTTCTGTTGGTGTAGGCAGCGTCTATACTAGGGGGCGATGCCAACATAGGCTCCATAGTGTAGATGTAGCCACAGGCTTGCCCTTGTGCCCACGCTAGTGCTTTCTTATACCTATTTAGGCAGGGTGATTCTTGTTTGACAGCTCCCTCAGCTGGTGAACATGCTTAGTTCACTGGTTGGGAGTTCCCTTTTTCTCCTTTTTGCCATACCTTCCATTATTATCCCCTGCTTTCTCCAGGCCCTATTAGATTGGGAGAGACCAGGAGAGGGGAGAAGTTGGTAGCTGAGGGACTGAGTGCTTACTAGTTTCAGAGTGGTAGCTCTGTTAGTCTGTATTAGCAAAAACAACGAGGAGTCTTTGTGGCACTTTAGAGACTAACAAATTTTTTTGGGCATAAGCCTTCGTGGGCTAAAGCCCACTTCATCAGATGTATGGAGTGGAAAATACAATAGGGAAGTATAACTACACAGCATATGAAAAGATGGGAGTTGCCTTACCGGGTTGGGGGGGGGGGGGGAGTCGGTGCTAATGAGCCAATTCAGTTAAGGTGGAAGAGGGCTATTCTCAACAGGTGACAAGAAGGGGTGGAAATCACTTTTGTAGTGCTAATGAGGCCAGTGTAATCAAGGTGGCCTATTTCAAACTGTTGACAAGAAGGTGTGAATATCAGCAGGGGGAAATTAGTTTTTGTAGTGACGCATCTACTCCTAGTCTTTATTCAGGCCTAATTTGCTGGTGTCCAGTTTGAAAATTAATTCCAGTTCTGCAATTTCTCGTTGGAGTCTGTTTTTGAAGTTTTTGTTGTTGAATAATTGCCACTTTTAACTCTGTTGTTGAGTGTCCAGGGAGATTGAAGTGTACATTGGCCAAACTGGACAGTCTCTATGCAAAAGAATAAATGGATGCAAATTTGACATTAAGAATTATAACGTTCAAAAACCAGTAGAACACTTCAATCTCCCTGGACGCTTCCACCTTATTTGAATTGACCCCCACTTGGTAAGGCAACTTCCATCTTGTCATATGCTGTGTATTTATACCTCACTACTATATTTTCCACTCCATGCATCTGATGAAGTGGGTTTTAATCCATGAAAGCTTATGCCCAAATAAATTTGTTAGTCTCTAAGGTGCCACAAGGACTCCTCATTGTTTTTGAGTGCTTACTGTCAGTTCTGTTCCTCCTGCTTGCAGCCCTGGCTGGTGATGATGTTACTTTGGCAAACTACTCTCAGTTGTTGAAACATGAGTGGTTTGCAGATGGAGAAGTTTCAGAACCAGTGATCAGAAAATTACCAGTGTGTGTGTGAATACTGTTGGACAGAGTGGGTATGTGACAGAGGGCATTTTTAGGTAGTGATCCAGAATTAGGTCACAGGATGAGGACTGCCCAAGTAGACGGGGATAATATAGGCGGTGCATGTGTGGCCCATGTATGTATGTGAGAAAACGTGGCTGTGGACGTATGAAGGATGGATAATAGGGTGCATGAGGAGGGTACAGAGGGAACTGTTGGTGACCGAAAATTGACACTGTTGGAGTCTACACCAGCACATAATTGAGATTTGGGGCTTACCCCTAAAACTTCAGGGATCAATTGTATCAGTTGTTTCTCTTCCTACTCTTCCCAGCAATCTGTACTTGCACTTGTGTTCTGTAAGTTTCTTTTAATTGATTGGTGTACATTTCTCCATTTTTAGATAAGGTTCTATTACGCAACCCTTTTTGCAATCTGAAAGGCTTCTATGAAATATTAAATATGTTGTGATGCTGTTGAATTATAGAAGTTTCATATTTTGTTAAAAATTATTCTGTATCCTCTTTTCACGCTAGTGCATGAAAGTCAATATTTACTTCATTGACTGCATTTTTAATCCTTCATTGTCGTGTTTGTCTCTGCATTCAGAGAGTTAGCATGAAGCCTGCTTTTGTGTGATCTCCAGTTGAAATTTGAGAGGTGTGCTGTAGTGCAACATCAGGAAAAAAAGTTACAATGCTTTAACTTGAGCAGCAATCAGTGCAATCCTGAGAAGTGGAGAGTGACTGTAAGACATTACACTAGCCATTTCTAGGGACTGGTAATGTTTCACTTGGAACAATATATTCAAGTCTGGTTCCATAATTAAAATATATACTGGAGACAACTGGATATATAAAATATATACTGGAGATGGTAGAGGTCCCTCTTTACAGAGAGATTACAGAAAATAGATGCTTGTAAAAACTAGATTTTTTTATTTTTTATTTATTTATATTTTTTTTGTCTAAAAAACCTCCAAAAAACCAAAACTGCATTTTGGAAAGAGGAGATCTCTGATAGTATATATACAGTTCTTTATCGTGCTGCGGTCCACAGATCCATTACAAGGGTTACTTCAGCCTGCGTGCAGCTTGGGGGCAGAACTAAACCTATTGGTCACTGACAGCCTCCACAGCCAGTGGGGAACCAGACCTTCCTGCTGCAGAGCTTTGCTGAGGAAAACTTCAACCTTTTATTTCAAATTTCTGACAGGTAGTTACGGCTGAGCATTTAGCCATGTAAGTCCCAGCCATGTCCTAGCATTTGCCTTTTGGGGAAAAGGTCTCCTCCTCTCTGCTTCCTTTCTTAGCAGGCTTCAGGAAGAAAGCTTGGCTGAGAAAAGCCTAGAGGCAAAATGAAAGGTCTTTTCTCCCCCATCTCACCTCCTTTTGAATGTCTTGTTGAGGAGCTCATATGGATCTGTGGATAGGATGCAGTTTTCCCCCTCACCGCAGGCTTTCGACAGCTTTTCTCTAAAGGGCTTTCCTATTATAAATCAGCTATCTGATAGAGCAGCTTTTAGCTCATGTTAATTGAGTGTTATAAGAAGATCAGGATGGAATGATGTGGTTTAGACTTAGGAACAGCAGATGGTTTTTAGGGCTTTTCTTGTTTGTTTGTTTTTCAAAAATGAAAGCCAGCTTTACTGTGGAACTATCAGAGACTGTATTTTTGCAAAGGAAGCTTCAGGTACTTTCTGTGCACTCATGATCATTGTCCTGTCCTGACTCTTTTTTTAAAGAGACATTGATTTAAATCATATTGGTAAATAATTTTTTACTGGTTAATAATACATGAACATGTTAGAAATACAAATTCACTTTTCTTGTTTACGTTATTCATTTCTCTCAGATTGAGCAATGAACTAAAAAAAGTGTAGAAACACCTCTGTTGGTTAAATTTGATAAAATATATCGTTACAAAATTGTAAATTTCAGGCTAAATTTGCAGTGTGTATGTCCATTCAGTTAGCTCTTACTAATACATCAATGCAGTTGTCTTATCCTGGATATGGTATGCATAGGTTTTATTACCTATATAAAATGGATATTTATCTAGAGAAGAAATATACATCAGTACCCTTTTGTGGTATTCTGTAAGTCTGATTATCTTTCTACTGAAATGAATGGAACACTTGGACCACAAGATATATGTTGGGGAAAGATCCTAAGTAAAACCGAACTAAGAGTCAGGCTCTCCTTATCTTTTTTTCTAAGTAATTTCTTTAATATTGTCAGCTCATGAAATGTATAGCAGAGCAATTTATATGAAAGCTGATGTGAGGGCATGGTTGTGGCTCAAAAAGTATATGACCTGGAAAGTGGTTGTCTGCTGCTAACAAAACTTAACATGATGAAAGTCTCGACTCTTTGTTTAGGCATTGTCACTAGTTTTAGTATGTATGTACACCTTTTACATAACTTTTCTTTTCTAGGATCCTTCGGTTACACAAGTGACAAGAAATGTTCCACCGGGATTAGACGAGTACAATCCTTTCTCAGATTCCAGAACAGTAAGCACATTAGTTTATTTCTTTAATATGCTCTTATATTTTTTTTGAGAGTTCTTTGGAAAACTGTTTTACAGAAAGTTTGGAAGTTTCACTCTTAGGAATGTGAAGGACTAATGAGGGAAAAGAGAAGATATATAAATAAAGTTAGGCCCTAAACAACATGTGGATTTGTCATGTGGGTGGACTTCAGTGGGACTTAAGCATGTGACTTGTTGCTAGTTTGTCTTACCATGGCTATTCAAAAATTACCTGGAAAGAATCAGTGCGTGCGCATGTATGTCAGTGTGGCTGCACAAAACTGCTCGATATTGCTGAAATTTAAAAGCAATATTATACAAATTGTCATGACAAAAAACAGCAAGTTTAAAATACTATTTAAAGGAAAAATTCTGTGGTATAATGACTTTGTGCACTAATCTTTCAGTCCTAGGTTAAAATCTGACTTAAATTGTAAATAAAATAAATTTGACATCTTATTCTGTGGTTGATATTCATCTATCTTGTCTTTCTATCAGACAGTTTTGGTAGTGTGTGTTCGAGAACTGGAATAGCAGTCTTACTGCAGGTCCACATAGATTAGTACAGGAAATATGCAAAATGAATCTAGCTATCTGTAGTTTCCTCATATTATTCCTCTTTGAGAATTCTGGAGCTATAGCTGTGCTGTTGTTGTTAACTTGTATGATTATAAAATGCACTTTAATTTCTGAATCTGTTCTATTGAAGGGAGGAGCTAAACATAATAGCCCTTAATTGGGCACGTGAGAGCTTATATCCAAAGAATCCAGATAGGCCTCATCCTAGATGCCAGTCACATAACAAAATTAGAGTAGAGTCCTTTTTTTTGTGGTGGGTGGTGGTGCTAAGGGAGAGGGAAAGTATGAGTTTAGTCACCGATGTTAGCACAGTTGTTCATTTTAGGGTCAATGAGATGTCGATGTTTATGAATACTTTATTTAAAACAAATTCTTATACGGACATTATACCTAAAGTGCAAAAGCAGCATTTATTTGGAGGGACGTTTTCTTTGACAGGCTTTCTTGCTAAAGGCAAGTAACCAACATGCTCAGCTTCATTATAATAGGAAGCTATGAAGAAATGTCTCTTGTATGGCTATTATGACGGTATATAACCACAGATGTACTTACTTAATCAAGTCCCAGGAAATTTCAATTAAAAATCTGACTGTTTTCTGTTTAGAAAGATTTCTTAATTTCTGGTTAGTGGTGAAAGATGCCACAGTGGCACTTTCAGTTGGGATAAGCTGATTGACTTAATTAGGTTCAGGATTTCACTTTAGATTTAAGAAAGGAGGTGGGGGAATAAAAGAGCCAGTTTTACATTCAGGTTTTCCCTTAAGCCCTACATCAATTAGACCAGTTTAGATTGTAAAGATTTTTGGAAAAAGAAATTGTACATTTTTGGCAGACACTTTCTAGTTTCAGCATTTTTTAAACAAAATAAGCTGTGAGTTCTTAACCAAAGACTTTCTCATGAAAACTTTCATTTAGGAAAAAAAGGGCCACTTTTTTTTAAAAAAAATTAAAAGTTCAGTTAGTTCTATTAAATTACTTGGATCTGCTTGGCATAAAAGAATAAAACAGGCATTTTTTTTAGCCCTACCCTTTTCAAGCTATGCCTAACAAGCAAGCTTAAATCTTTCCCAGCTTCAGGACTTCCACTAAATAACTGTAAAATTAAATGCTTAATAGATGTGCTTAAAATGTGATGCTTAAAATGTGATGCTTTAGATGCTTAAAAAATGTGATATATTTTTTGGTAAGACTTTTGGCCCTGTCATATGACGTTAATCATAGAGATTACATGATAGTCAATGAATCTAGAAGCAGCTAGTAAATTTCTTTTTAAAAAACTCCAATCCAAATAAAATATAAATGAAAACTTAGTTAACAAAACTAATAGATGTCTAGGATGGAGGTTCAGGTACACAGTCTGACAGATGGGAATACTCTGCCACTTTACTCAATGAACCTCAGTGGTTTTGTGTTCATATGCCCACTTTTTGTTTTCAAAACTGATGCCTTTGCTGTTGCCTGAGTTTGCCATCTGGAGCCTGTGTATGTTGCTCCTGTGGGTTTTCATTGTTTGAATGAGTGGTTGTTTGTCTTACTGTGTCTTTGGACAAATGCTGTTGGAGCATTCTAGATGGTCTTGGGGGGAAAAAGCCAGTTTTTCTTGGTTTTGTTCAGTTATGAACTGTTTCTCTTATTAACTGGTATGAAAACCCGAGAGGAGATAAATGTACAGTTCTGCAAACAAATACTTTGTGCACGCACACACATACACACACTTCAGCAACAATGACTCTAGAACAGATCTAGCCCTTCCTTATCCTTTCCCTCTACGTTGTCTCCTTGAACATCCCTTCCCTAACAAGTAAAGATTATCGGTTTCTTCTGCAAATGATGTTAAATAAATAGCTCATGTTGACAATAACCTACTGTCCAGTAAAGCCGATATCCTCTTCCTAAACTGAACAATGATCAAGATAGTAGATGTTTGAACACCAAATATACAAGATAAGAGAAGAACAAATTAAAAGCCACAAGCTGTATTCTTAAAGATACCTGCTCAGCCATATTGTACTAGCATATTACCTCATAACAAAATGTGCACAGTTATTGCAGCCTTGCCAAGACTAGAATTAGTGACCTTAAACTAGAGCTGTTGACTAGAGTCCATAAAGTACCATGCAAACAGAAGCCCCGTCTAGACTAGATATTTCAATTATAAACTGTGGCAGGAGTTGTTTTATGAATGGGTACTATGCACACAGGGATGCTTTGATCTTTGTTTGGCTTTCAGGTGTTATACAAATAATAACAATCTTGGTCAGACTGTGCCTTCCAATCACACATTCTTGAGGCTTCCCTTCTGTATATTTTGATAACATTTGTATAATTTGTCATGCCAACAGAGTATTATTAAAGTAGACACTCTTGCCACTCTCTTAGGCCAGGTGACCTGCTTCAGTTAAAGAATAGGAATGTGTTCAGAGTAGTTTAATTTGAATGTAAGTGTAAAGTCTATTTAGAGATATGTTCAGGAGTTCTGGTAAACTAGAGGGAGAATTGATTTCTTATGTGCTAATTTATACAGGAAGTGGCAAGAAAAGATGTCAGTTGTTCTTGGAGTGTTTACACAAGGTTATTTTTAATCAGTGCTTGCAAACAAGCTTTAATACTTAATATACCTCATGGATCCCATGAGTTGAGTCCTTTGTAACGTTCAATTATCAGATTAAGATATTGACTGTTTTTATTTTTATTTTTAATATTTTACTACACATAATCTCAAACTTCCTATAGTAAGGGAGTGAACTCAGTGAGGAGAGATCAAAGAGAAATATCTGAGTTTTTTCTAGTTCTCTGTGTTACTGTACTCAGATATGATCCATAGAAGGTTCATAGATACCAAGGCCAGAAGGAACCATTGTGATCGTCTAATCTGACCTCTGGTATAACACAGGCCATAGAACTTCCCCAGGATAATTCCTAGACCATATTTTTCAGAAAAACATTCAGTCTTGATTTAGGAATTGTCATGGATGGAGTATTTCCCACAACCCTTGGTAAATTGTTCCAGTGGTTAAGTATGCTCCCTGACAAAAATGTACACCTTATTTCCTGTCTGAATTTGTCTAGCTTCAACTTCCAGCGATTTGGATTGTGTTATACCTTTCTCTGCTAGTTTGAATAGCCCATTATTTGTTCTCCATGCAGATTCTTACAGACTATAATCGAGTCACCCTTAGCCTTCTCTGTTAAGCTAAAAGGATTGAGCTCTCTATCACTAGAAGGCATGTTCTTCTCTGAACCCCCTCCAATTTATTAACAGCCTTCTTGAATTTTGGGCACCAGAATGGATATGAGTTAGGATTCAGAATTAGGGTTTGGACTCAAAAGGGCACTATTGTGGAGTCTAAGGAAAGGCAGTTTCGTCTAGTGCATCGAGCATGGATTGGGATGTGGGAGACCTGGGTTCTAAACCCATTTCTTCTGTTAGCCTGCTGGGTGATCTTGGGCAAGTCATTTCACTTTTTTGTGCATCAGCTTCCCCATATGCAAAATAGGGATAATAATACTGACCTCCCTTTCTATAGTTCTTTGAGATACTGATGAAAAGAGTTGGGTATTAGCTTTTTCTGAAAGTTGACAGTTTAGAAGTGTTGATAAATGCAAAGTAATGTATATTGGAAACCATAATCCCAACTATTCCTACAAATGATGGGGTCTAAATTAGCTCTTTCCACTCAAGAAACAGATGTTGGGGTCCTAGTGGCTAGTTCTCAGAAAACATCTGCTCAATGTGTGACAGCAGTCAAAAAAGCTAACAATATGAGGAACCAGTAGGAAAGGGATAGATTAAACAGAAAATATCCTAATGCCACTATATAAAACCATTGTATGCCCATATCTTGAATACTGCATGGAGTTCTGGTTGCCTCATCTCAAAAAAGATATATTAGAATTGAAAAAGGTAGAGAGAAGGTCAGCAAAAATGATTAGAGGTATGGAACAGCTTCCATATGAGGATAGATTAGTAAAACTGGGACTGTTCATCTTGGGGGAAAAAGGGTGACTGGGGGGATGGAGAGGGCTATGTTAAAGGTCTATAAGATCATGAATAGTGTGGAGAGTGTAAATAACACTTCCATATTCACCCTTTCAGATAATACAAAAAACAGATAACCCAATGAAATTAATAGGCAGCAGGTATAAAACAAACAAAAGGAAGTTGTACTTCTTCACACAACACACAGTCAACTTGTGGAACTCATTGCCAGGGGATGTTGTGAAGGCCAAAAGTATAAACTGTGTTCAAAAAAGGTTTAGATAAGTTAATGGAGGATAGGTTCATCAATAGCTATTATCCAAGATGGTTAGGGATGCAACCCCATTCTTTGGGTGTCCCTAAGCCACTGACTGCCAGATGCTGGGACTGGAGGACAGAGGATGGAACACCTGATAATTGCCCGGTTCATTCCCCTGAATAATCTGGTGTTTGCTACTGTCGGACAGGATACTAGGCTAGATGGACCATCTAAACTTGATCTGACCCAGTATGGCTGTTTTATATTTCTTAATGTTGCTTTTCCCAGACCTGGGGTCAAACCATGACTCTGATCCTGGGACAGGAGGCTCACTTGCTTGAGGGTTACTCCCAGAGAGTACATGGCACCCACTAGCTCTTTTGGGGAGCACAACTGAAAATGGTGTTCAAGATAATTTGTGTCTCTAGGTAGGCTCAAGCCTAATGTTCCTAAGGCTCATGAACTACAGTAGAACCTCAGAGTTATGAACACCTCGGGAATGGACGTTGTTTGTAACTCTGAACAAAACATTTTGGTGGTTCTTTTAAAAGTTTACAACTGAACGTTGACTTAACACACCTTTGAAATTTTACGATGTAGAAGAAAAATGCTGCTTTCCCTTTATTTTTTTAGTAGTTTAACATAGTACTGTACTGTATTTGTTTTTTCTTTTTGTCTCTGCTACTGCCTGATTTTGTACTTCCAGTTCCAAATAATGTGTATGATTGACTGGTCAGTTCGTAATTCTGGTGTTCAACTCAGAGGTTCTGTTGTAAAAAGGATTACACTGCACATATGTAGAAAGAGGAGCCAAAAGTTTTCCAGCATTAAAAGTTTCACTGCTGTTGGATAGCTCCAAAGGATAAACTGTAGTCCTTTGACCTTAACCTGTCCAGCTAGTGTCAGTTCAAGTCCTGTCTTCGTCAGAAATCTGGGAGAATATGAAGGCATCGTTTCTGTGGTGCATAGAGGATAAAGAGGAAGAGGGGAGGGATATTGAAATTAGTAGGAGAGAAATAACACAACCAAAAAAGCTTATTTTGTAACCATTAGAAATAAACTGTAACCAGTCCTTCATGCAGATAATTGAAAAGTGCTTATAATGCCTGAAATTCGTAAGTTGTGAAAGCAAGTATTAATGGAGATATTATACAATAGGCTATGAACACTGAACAATTATCTTCAGATTTGAAAAATTGAATAGGAGGGTATATTACCTTACTAATTATTCAATAGGTGACATAAGTCTGTGCTAGGAAAAGTCCTAGAGATTTCTGTTTATAATATAAATAGGTCATTTCTAATTCCTGGGCTTCCCATAACTTACATTTCACTTACCCCAGTTCATATCTGAATCAGTTTAAACTCCTGCGTTGTGCTACTTACAGTTATTTATAAAATGCTTTGTTGCATCTCTGGCAAGCAGTGTACTGTATAAATAATATTTTATCATAGAAGAAGGAATTATTTTTTCCTAAAGATCAGCGTTACTGCAGGCAGCTTACCACAGAATTTTTGTTTATCTATTATGTCTCTATAAAAAAAAAAATACAGTAGATAATCTTAGTCTTCCATAGTATAAAGTATCTGTTTGTGAAAGTGTCTTCTTATAATTTTCACTTTTTCTTAGCCTCCACCAGGAAATGTGAAAATGCCTAATACACCTGTGCCCAGTACACAGCCAGCTATAATGAAACCAACAGAGGAACCTCCTGCTTACACACAAGTAGCAAAGGTTCGTGTATAACATTTTGAGAATGGGCTAATGGCAAAAGAAATTCTAATTGCATATAAAAGTACTTTTTTTAGGCCAATGTTAATTTTATAAAGCAGCATTACTTTCTGTAATCAGCGCTATGCTTTACAGAAACAAGTGCTGTAATTAGATGTAAATTGTTGCATTCATTAATTAAAATAGGAGGTTTATCTTGATTCATGACTGAGAATGCAACATAATTGAAGAACATACATAAAAGAACAAAAATTCCAAGTTTGTGCATTTGTTGATATCTAACGGTGCTTGTTTTTCCTCAGGAGCATGCATTGGCCCAGGCTGAGCTACTTAAGCGCCAAGAAGAACTAGAAAGAAAAGCAGCAGAACTAGATCGCAGAGAAAGGGAAATGCAGAATCTCAATCGACAGGGTGGTATGCATCACGATCTTAATTCTTTTTAATAGAGATTTAAGTTTTAAAACTCTGAACTTCTGTTTTCTGCTTGCCTGTTTAAAACAAAGGTCTGAAGTATTTGTTTTTAGGGTCTCATTCAGGAAAAGGAATCTATGCCTTTCAGAAGACTGCATAAAAAAAAAATCTCACACTTAGTTTTTGAGGTAGTGTGTGAACTTCTGTAGTGTAAACGTGTAACAAGGTTTTGTTGAATCAGTACTTTACTGTATTAACTATTGGTTTTTATTCTTGGTTTAAATTAAAGTAACATTAACTACTTGAAACAGTTCAAATTTTAAAAACTGTAATTAAAAGTAGTCTCATGTACTACACCTGCCTGATTCCTTTTCTGCCAACATTTGTCATGGTACAATAACTTTCCTATCTTTGATATTTTTCCTATCCTATTTTGCTGGGTTGGGAGATCCACACAAATAAACGAAATGTTCTGATCATTATCAATTACTGGTAGTGCCCATAGTCCCTGATGAGGATCTCATTATGCTAGTTACTGTACAAACACAGAGGTAGTTGTGTTTCCTTCCATGAAGAGCTGACACAGTAAAACTGATATGTTATCAATGTGAAGAGTATGCAAACTGAAAAAAAAGGAACTTTTTTTTTAACTTTTTGCACTGATTTTTTTTTTTAATTTATAATAATCTTGAGTGTTAATTGTAACAATAATGGGTTAAAAAAATCAGACAAAAGCTTGTTTTTTTCTTTTCTTTTCTTTTTTGGTTAAGGTGACTGAGTCCTGCGCTATATCCCTCGTTGCTAAATTTCACTATCAGTTCACTTGTATTTCGTTTTTGCTTTTTAGTAAGTGTGAAGTGCAGCAAAATTAGTGTTTCTACTGAAAATTTTTAATTGCAGAAACCTGCTACTGAGGAGTATGGTATAAAAATGGCAAGGTGTAAACTGGACATTGTGCTGGAAAGTTCAGATGTGGGGATGGTCTGCTTTAAAAGAAAAAGTTCAGGCCGAAACAAGAGAAAAACAACAAATACACAATCTTGAATTTGTGTGAGTTTATTTTTTTTGCATAAGGTATGATTCTTGCACCTGTTCTGGGCCCTTAGCATTTGTCTGGCAGGATTTTCCAAGTGCTCAGAAAATAAACTGTCATTTGGGAGCACAACAGGCCACTGTACAAACTCAGTTGGCTCAGCTGGCTTAATGACTTGAGAATTCAAATATTTGGGGAATTTCCTGTTAGTCATTTGTTGGAATCAAGGACCCAGGAGTTGGGGATCTGCTATTTTTTTAATAAAGAAAAATAATTGCAAATAAATTTTCCTTTTATAGTCGTCTTTACTTTTTTGGATAATCTAGTCTCTTTTTTCTGCTTGTCATCGTCTATCCCCTCCCCCGCTCCACCTCGCGATTGTTTTCTTTATTCATTAGTTTGTATGCAGTTTTTCAGAATTTCCCCTCCACCTATTACCTTTCATCCTCTTCACAGATAAATTTTATTGATGGTCTGACATGCCCTATTCCCTCCACTTGTCTTTTCTAGTCCTTAGGAACAGTCTTATTCCTTTCTACTGCATCTTAAGGAACAGGGAACTTTGAGATCCCAGACATGCTTCAGGATGCCTGGAACCTGTTGTTTCTTACTATGCCTCTCTTATGTTGCAGCAGTGAGCACCAAGGGTTCTGAGAAATATGCGGAATCTGAAGGCTTCTTTTGGATCACTGGAAAGAAAAAAGATTAGTCCCTAAGGATCAAAAGGGGAAAGGTTAGGTTTTATCATTTGGGTATGAGAAGCATGGCAGATTGGGAATTATGTGACACAAGTGAAGGAGAAATTTTCCTTACCTGTTAATTTTCTTTCCTAATCTCTTCTGTACTAGTCCAGATGCTTGGAGTATATTTTGATGAACATATTGGGTATGTGTTTGTCAGTGTGTAAAGATCACTGGATTTAGCTTAACGATACTGAAAAGCGCAATTAAGATGCAGGTGAACACATTTGAAGCTCTGTTAGCTGGCCTTGTTTTAGCCTTGGGGAAGCGAACATGTATTAGCTAAGGTAACTTAATTGAAAAATGCAATCTTACCCATCAAGACAGGATCTTGGATAATAGGTCTTTCCAACCAGAAGACGGAGACTGAAACCTCTTGTGGGATGTCAGACTCTCTTATATGCCCTCTAGTCATCTTGCAGTCCTCAGCTGACTATTTTGAAAGCTATACCAAATAAAAAAAAAAATTCAGACATTATTATTTAGTAGTCATTAAAATTTGAGTAATTATGAGAAATCTGAACATGTCAGTGACTCTGCATTAAAACTCTCAGTAACGAGAGAGGCAGGCACCTGATTTTACAGAATAAGGGTCTGAATTGGCATAGATTATTTCAAAGTAAGAAAATTAATTAGAAAATATTTCCCCTGGTCTTAGGTCGTTTGTACCGATGCTTGGGACTTTCCAAAGTAGGTTGTGTGATATGTGTGTGTTTGTTTTGCTTTTTTAACTATGGGTGATTATAATTTGCATCACCTTCTGCAAAAGGTCACAATAGCAGTCCTATTCTGTAATGCTTGCCAAAAGTGTCGGCAGAAGCCTGTTAGCTAAGCTTGTATATCTGTGTTCAAAAAGTTTCTCCCTCTTTCTGCACATAATGATGTTACTGAACAGGAAAGGTGAGATTTAAAAGATTCTGTTGATTAGAGATTTATGTTGCAACAGGAAATTAATCAGTTCTCTAATCCCTCTAGAGGTGGTGAATTCAGAGACAACTTGACTTTTAAATTCTGGTGCGGGATTGGAGTCTCTGAGACTACCCAAACTATGCCTTCCTTCCTGTGTAAATCTGTAGGGCTCTATGTACTTCTAGATAATGTAGCCTTCTCTGTCAGAGTCTTGGAGGTGGGGCCAAACGTGGGTAGGATGATTTCTAGGTTCAGGTGAAAGGCAGTCGGTGTCTTGGGCCAGGATTCTAGCAGAGCCAACAGTGTGATCTTATAATGGTGAAAAATTATACAGAAGTGGGTTTCCAGGAAAACTTTGCAACTTTCCTCTTCTCACTAAACATACTGCTAGTAAAAACAGAATTTACGGATAGAAATCACAGGTAAAACCTTGGAGTTTAAAAGGAGGAGGAGCCATTCAACTCCTTGACCCCCTTTGCCTTTCCAACTAACACCCCTCTCCCTGCTTGCTTTCGTCTCTAAGCATGTTGAATGCGCACTCTACAGTCACTGCCTGGAGTTTCTCTTCTCCAATTCAGTTCCATTCTAGACCCTTTCCAATCCAGCCTCTTCCTCTTGCATTGCTCTGAAACCACTCTCACCAAAGTCTCTAATGGCCTTCTCTTAGCTAACATTCAGAAGCAGTACTCATCTCCATCCTCCTTGACTTGTCAGTTGCCTTCACCACAGTCAACCATGCTCTTCTTGAAATCTTGTCCTCCCTTGGTTTCTGTGATTCTTTCGTTTCTTGGTTTTCTTCCTTACCTCTCTAATTATCCTTCGGAGGGTTCTCCTCATCTTCCCACCAACTTTCTGTAAGGGTTCCATAGGACTCTGTCCTTGTCCCCTTCACTTTTTCCTCTGTGCCTGATCTCTGGGCAGCTTCAGAAAGCGCACAAACACAAATTTAACTACGATGTCTGTGCTAACTACTCTCAGGTCTCGTGTTAGCAGGCTTATTCCTTCACCCACTTACTTCCCTGGTCCTTCTCGCATGAACAGAGAGCAACAATACACAAAGTCCAAAGGTGCAAACAATTCGATGTTTATTGGGGTGAACTTCCAGCAAGCATGATTCCAGTTTCCTTCCTTAGTGTCCCCCTTCCCAGCTCTGACACCACAGAGCCTTACACTTGTGTCCCTGTTCCCATTCCTGCCCTTAGCCAAACATGATTCCAATTTCCCCACCCCCATTCCCTGATCCCATTTCCCCCACCCACCCACTCACTTCCTGATTGACTGCAGACTATATAGTAAAACTTGAGTTCTGCTTAGCTATACCTTAACCAATCATTTTACTGAAATTTAACTAACCAATCCTAACATATTGTAATATGATTATTTAACCAATTACATCCCACCACCTTAATTAGTTGACACCCAGCAAAATTAATTGTACAGCAGAAAGAAACAATCACAGAACCAGACAGAGATTATACAGACAAACAATGGGGAAATGGGGACTACAGTGTTAGAACAAACACAGAAATGAGGATTTCACATCCCAGCTATTGATAAGTGAGTACTTGCCAGACAAGATGCTATCAAACTAAGTTTCCTTTTACATCTTCTAGGCAAAAAGAAAAGGAATACTTGTGGCACCTTAGAGACTGACCAATTTTATTAATTAATTTAATTAATTAAATTCCTTAGTCTCTAAGGTGCCACAAGTACTCCTTTTCTTTTTGCAAATACAGACTAACACGGCTGTTACTCTGAAATCTTCTAGGCACTTCCCTTTCTCTGGAGGTGATAGGCATTATCAGGACAGGATTGTATTCCTAACAGCCCAATAGCACTAACAGCCCAATAGCCCAATGTGACTAGGTTGGAATGTGAGGATGTGACCGTACACTTCCCAGCTTATGGCTGCCTCTGTTGCTTAGCCAGAGATCTCAGCCTAAGAACAGGGCCTCAGACTGTCACAGTAAGAGAAGGCTCTTACACTGGCAGACAGTGATTTTGATTCTTTCTTTTATACCTCTATAACTAGCCAAGTGATAGGAATACACCTAAATTCTTAGAGTATAGGCCTTTACAGACAGGCCTGAATATCTATATGTAGCTCTCTTTCTATCCAAACTAAAGTCTCGGTCTGTCTTTTTTGACAACTCTTTGGGGATGTCGAGTTGTCAGCTTAAGCTAAACTTGGCTAAAACAGAGCTTCCAATCTTCTCTCATATACCCAAGCCCTCACCACTATCTCCTTTTTTGATCGCTGTGGACAACGCTATCATTCTACCTGTTACTCAGACCTGCAGTCTGGGCGTCATCTTTGACTT